GAATCAGCTGAGTCATTAACCGACATTAACACTAGGATTATTAATAAAATCACCACAGTGCAAAAATGTCAGATTTATTCATTTAAACGACAAAATATATGTTTTGTAAATTTCGCTACAGAATTAAGTCCACAGTAAAAACCGGAAGGAAGTCTGTGTGTAACAAGAAAGAAGAATACAGAGAACATAATACATTAATTAATAAAAAATAAGATGTATACGAAAACAAATTGTTGTGAAAGCTCAGTGCCCTGTTATCAAACGGTTTGATTTATCTTCAATTACTGCGCTAGTAGTATTTTATTTTAGTCATATTTTGTGAACTCCTAATCGTAATGTAATCTGGATTCAACATTATACAGGGAATTTAAAAATACCACCATATGTAGAAAAATGTACAAGCCGTTGACGAATCGGAAGTGGTTAGATATTTTCACCTCATGAAAGGTAGAATGACGACATTATTACATAACATTGAAAGTCGTACGTAAGGTCATTTTTATTCCGATAAGATTGGTAAATAGATACTTATCGTCCTTACTGAAATTTTGATTCGAATTCCTCGCGATATTTGGCCCTGAATCTTTTATTTGAATTGTCATACAGATATATGATAAAATGAAATCCGATGTTAAAAAGTAGACCAATACTAGTGTCTTGGTGCATTGTTAACGAAAGATGCAGAACAAACAGAAGAGATAAGATGGCGTATGTAAAATAGTCAGAGCCATTTTCATGAAAATGAAAAAAAAAATCAATAATGAATTATAATCTATGGAAAAAAAACACACCGATCTTTCTAGTTTATCCCTTTCTAGATTAGATCTTCCTTTGGTCTTTCAATTTCTGGCTTCCATCAGGTGACCTTTTTGGTAATCAGTAGATCGTTTTTATCATTTCTTCGTTTTCCATTCTTATCGGACCCATAATTCTCCTGAGGATTTTCCTTTCGAATATTCTCAAGCTTTCTTTATATGTGGGGCACCTTGTTTCAATTACGAATGTAATTACTGGTCTGATTACTACTCTGTGTATTTTCAGTTTTTTATTTCTGGATAAGTTCTTGTTCTTTATTGGTTTATGGTACCCCATTATATTTTGTTGCCTCCTAGTATTCGCTTCGTTACTTCTTCATTTTTCTTATTTTTGCCATTCACAATTACTCGCAAATATTTAAATTGTTTGGACAGTGGACATATCACAGACACCAGAAGAGAAATAAGAAAAAATTAGAATAGTTTGGTCATGTTACATGAGAAATGTCAAAATAAACTACTGCAGTTAATAATCGAAGGCAAAGTTGAATGCAAACGTGATCGAGATAAAAAACGGACTTCATGGCTCAACAATCTGCATCAATTTGAATCTGCTCTGTATGAAATTAGCAAAAGATCACTTCAATCAAGCTGCAACGAAAAAGAGGAAGTTTAGGCAATTGATTTTCAACGTTATATAAAGCCATGGAATGATGTCTTGAAGATGAAAAATATATATAACACTAGAATTAAGAACAAAATTGTTATTACACTATCCACAAGGAAAGTCTGTATGTATACCATGTATCACAAGATATTTAGTGGCTCAAAACATGTACACCTAATACTTTTTAGGACACTGATGATGGAATATGGATTCCGAAAACGTTTTGTTGTGATATAGCCCGACTGGGTTTTTAAATTATATACATTTTATAAAGGATTTTAATAAATTTTTTATTACACTATGTTTTCTCAACATTTTTACATGGTTTTGAACCTTATATATTCAAAAAAATAGATATAAAGATATTGGAGTGCTTCTAAATATGGTATTCCCCCATAATATTATAATATATACTAATGATATAAGAATATTATATATACAAGACTGAATACAGAACCGAAAGTAATAGAAACTCTAAGAAATTGAGTACTTTGGTATTTTAATAAGAGGAAACAAAATGCAATTTCCAAGACTAATAATGGAAGGCAAAGAGACAGACAGTTTCTTAGCTTAAGATATTTCAGAGTGTCCTCTTGTCATGACCTCCAGTCAATTATTCAGAGCATCATTCAAGTGGGATTATTGGCCAGTATTATTTCCAACTTCTGACAGAAGGACATTGTAAGAAATATAATTTCATGAAACCTGAAATTTAATCAGCTGTAATTTTCGATTTAACTGACGGTTTGTTAAACATGTCACTTCGTTTTTAAAATTCCAAAATTTGAACTTTAAACTCCTCTGTTGTAAATGTCTTATCCCTTCTAGTATATAAACCATGGACCATAAAGTTGAGGTATGTTCATCTCTTAGAGGGAGGAACCACATATTATATGGCTGTGTGTTGTGTTTGTGTGTGTGTGTATATATAGGTCCTCGTACACATCTGCTCTACGTAAAGACCCCCAATGAAGCAAGAAATCATTGCGCTTTGAATCGTTGTGTCATTGCACTCGCGCGTCTTAAAAGAGGCGCCGCGTAGAATTCACAGTCGCAAACCCCGTCATGCTCGACTTATCCCAAAGATTTCAGACAAATTGCCACTTGGCCGAAATTTTCGTGAAGATTTGTCTAGGTCGTCAAATTGAGTATTTTCTGTACAATGCTAGTTAGTGAGATACCAATAATAAGACAATAATATTTATTTAAAAAATAGTTGGCGGTTTATAGTTAAGTTCTAATATTATAGGGGATATAAAGTGGTAAAAGACCTCTTTTTTAAGAAACTTTTGAATATTTGGCGTTATAAACTTAATCGTAATCTCAATGTTACGTCCACAACATATGCCATCCCCAAATACCTATAGCCATTATCTTGTGTTATGAGCTGCTTGGATGGACTATTTTCGTATATCTTTTCTGATCATAATGTCATTCATCCACGTGTCGAGTTACCCAGTCGAGTGTCTGAAAAGAATATTTTAGGATGGCTGTGTGCAGTTTTGATTAAAGGTTGTGGTTTGCTTGACAGGTATTTAGTTTTTCACTGTCTGTGTTTAAGTCGTATGATATTCATAGAGTTTTAGTATACTATGTAGTCGATTAAGCAGTAATTTAGTTCGTTCAGAATTTTTCCTAGTTCCGTAATATCAAATACCCCCTACAAGTCATAAAATTAGTACTAAATAATCTTCAAGTCCTACTATTTTGATTAATATGTAGGTGATATTCTTTATTTTGGTATTATTTTATTGTTTTTCGTCAAAACATATAATCTCTATATTCTGACACGTACTTAGTTATAAAACTGTTCGCTAATGTCCAATGTATCTATTAGGTATTTCTACTTATATTTCATTAAGTAAGAAATCTCAGAAGATCTGCAGAAGATCGAGAAGCCTTCGCAATGGTGATCGCCAACGTCGGATAATTCTGATATGGCACGCGAAGAAGAGAAGAAGAAATCTCAAATTTCTGTAAAAAAATTATTTCGGCCTCTTAAAATGGTCGATGTCAAAATATTCACGTTATATATTTGCTATTTTCATCACTTCATCTTCTAAAAGTTTTGTCTTGCTTTGTTTGTTGGCTGGTTTCTTAAACCTATTTTAATTCCTAATTTTCTTTAAATATGACAATATCGACAGAAAAGATGTCTTAAAAAAGAACAACACATAAGTTTTTGTTCAATACATTGCAAAATAATCCTTTAGACATTCAAAAATAAAAAAGCTGTACGCCATTGCTTATAAACATATCGAACCAATTTAATTTTTTATTTGATATTAAAATAGAACTCATTTTAGAATAATAGAAATGAGGGAGATTGTTCTAGATGTTGAAAGTTGTTGTGACTACAATAAAAATAATACATCCTAAATAAATTCCGAGAGAATAGGAAGATTCTCCTTGAAACGATTAATATTGACGTCACTTTATAGTTTTATTTTTGTCAGTCATTTTTTGAATGTCTAATCTAATTATTATAAAGCTAATGAATGTATGAAACATTTTCCCGTTAAAACTTCTATTTCTTGTGAAATGACCAACCTATTTTTTAGAAAAATGATTAGAACTGCTTTGAAAAAAAACATGTAACCAAATTCTCGCGAAACGGAAATACTGATATTTTTTAGAGCTTTGAAAGATTACTCATCTTAACGTTCCACAAATTTAATTTTTTCGTGACATGAATAAAGCTGATTCATAGGTTGATAGGTACAATTCTAAAAAAGAAATATTTAAAAGTCAACACTCATAGATTAAAAGGGGAACCCAGTACTAAATAAACTGGAGACTTCAAAATATTTGGATAGTCTGGATATAAGAGGATGGATAACTGGCAAGGAAATTACAGAATGAGCAATGATTGCCCATATAAGATCATATTGACAACAAAAAAAAACAAGATAATGTCCTGACGTGTGAACTTTGAAATAGCCAAAACTAATTATCTAGTAAAATTAAGAGATTTGTAATAAATTCCTCATTTATAACAACAGAGCCAACACAAACTGTATATTGTAGGAAGGACGCTCCAGACATGGGCGGTGCTGCGCGAAGTTGAATGAAATAAGGTGAAACGGTGTGACAAGCGCGTACTACAAGAGCGTTCAACGATCTCTACTTGCCGCCGCGATACTAGCGCCTCGCAGCGGCAATGCCATCAAGTAGGCGTGCTCGGCATGGCTGTGAGAACGCTTCGTGTTTGCGTTTGTGATTTTTCTCAATTTTTGAAGAAAAAATCCATCAATATTTTCTATAACCAGTGAAAAAATGTAGATAAACATGTAGGGTAAGTCGTGAATAGTTTTTTAGTGCATATCTCTAGATATTTCAGCTGTGTTTGTGCAAAGCGTTTCCGGTTAACCTGCAAGAATATTTTGGGCTCAAATCAAAATGGAGGCAAACCGCGTGCTTCTACGTTTGCCGCTTTTTTTTCTTGTTGCCATTTACCGGGGTTATTGAATCATTTCACAGTGGAATTGTTATTTATTTTTTAATATTACTATAATATAATTTTATTTTAATAACGATAATTCTTTTACAATTCTAATAATGTTCTTTTTTGATTGTAGAATCGATCTTAAGGGTTGAATTACTAGAGCAAATACCTCACATTGCCGCACACGCCATAGCATGTTCGTGTACGAGTGAAGTGCCTGCATTTAAGAACATCGTCAGTGATCACATTATTCCTTTCGTTGTAAGAAGTTTAGGATGTTCAGAAAATACTCTTGTTACCCACTCGACTCTAATCCAATTGATAGAACAGGGTTTTATTTCAAAACTACAAGCCGAAATCCAAGTATGTCCCACAATTTTGGCGCTCACCAAGTTAGAAACCACCACAGATGTAAATACTAGTGCTATTAATGTAAGTATTTAAAGTGACTTATTAAATCTATTTTTTTCAAATTTGTTAGATCCAATAGAGGCTTTTGAGTTTACATATATATATTTTTTAATTAGTCTGCATTTTCTTGATCTTAATGCTCGGGTAGTGATCTAGTTCCATTGCTCCCATAAGTAGAACCAAGTATAGGACTGTTTTGGAGCAATTTGGAAATTATACTAAGAAAAATATGTATTTACATGTGGATACAAAAACTAATTTAATTTTATTTTTTATTTCTATTTTAGTTTGTTATTTAGTTTTCAGAGTATTTGCAATACTATTTAAGATTAAATTTTATATACAGGTCCTTGGAATAATGATGCTATTACCCGAATATTAAGAGACCATTTTAGGTTTAAATTGATGATTTCGTATATAACAGGTGGTTAATAGGATATAATTAAGTTCACATATCTTTTATAATATTTAAGTATAATCGGTACAGGTAACAATGCATCAAATTTTTACTCCATATCTGTTTATTATAATTTTATTTTATGATTGTAATTTAAAGAAATCTTACCTTAATAAGATATTTACTGGATAGATACATGCTTTGGCAACCTAGACAATTGATTTTTAAGTTAATAATATATAGATTATGTAGTTTAGATACGCTAGTGGCTTAATTCAAACTGTATATTTTTTGTTTTGTTCAGTTTATAAAAAAACTTGTTTAATTTTACAATACTAATATAATACAATCAATATATTGTAGGTTGTTGTTTTTGCACCAGGCATAGATTTCCTAAGAAAACAAAACATTGGAAGTTCAAGTTCGTAGCATTACTCAGATGCTAGTTTTTGGTTTGAGATATAGTTCTTGATTTTTTTTTTGTGAAACATGTGCTGTTCTATTATTCTAGAATCAATACTGAATATTGAATGCATTTTAGTTGTTCTAAAGATAATTTAAAGCTAATAGATCAATGTAATCAGTATAGTTAGTTTGTTTCATGTGATAGGAATAGAGTGAAAATGTATTTCTTGCTTAGGATTTGTAAAATATACTTCTGAGAAGCAATAGAGATAATATAGTATAGTATGATAATATCCAGTTCATGAATTAAAAAAAAAAAAATAGGATAACTGCCTTCAGGAACATGGATATAGTGGTTGTGCTTGCATGAAAGACATGGGTAGTGAGATGTTCATATTTTTTGTCTCACTACCTTGTCTTTCATGTAATTATAACGCAAATCGCTGAGCAGATTGGGACATTTTTGGGTTTGCCACTGCTCGTCAGAGTTGGCAGTTTTAGATTATTGAGTTCTATCACAGCCAGCTTTGATGAGCAGTGTTGGATTCATAATCAACATGGAAATTCTATGATTATTTATTTGCTTTCTACATGTTCATCAATTTGGTTGTGAATTCTTTTATTTTAAGATATCACAGCCACTTTGATGAGCTATGTGGGGAGTGCATCATCAGCTCATCTCATGAAGAAAGAAAAGTTAATGCCATAAGCGTCAACTTGGTTGTGAAACCTTTTTATTATTGGTATCACAGCCATTTTGACGAGTTATGTTGTTAATATATTCTACAAGAATCAAGAATAGTTCACTTATATGTGAGCACAATATGGAAGTCTTGTGTAGATGTAAGTGTTTAGGCTTAATTAGTTTATTAATATTTTTCTAGGTATTAAATGATTCAGCAGTTTTAATACATATGTACCCTAATATCATTTCTATTAGTCATTTGGAAATCTTATTTTTTTTATTGGTTAAATGCAGTTTTCTGAGAAAAATATTTTTCATCAACTATAATTACTTGGAGTTTGATTTTATTTCATGTTATTAGTGTGATTAATGAATAGTGATTAGTCATTTTCAAATGTATTGAAAGTTTTCCTATGGTTTTTTAGAAAATACCTGTTTTTTAATAAACTGGTAACTTTTAAATAATTGTAATAACTTGTGTAACATTTAAAAATTGTTAAAACTTGTTTGTATAATCTTAAGTACATAAAATTATTCTTGTTATACACAATTTTATGGTTAGTTCACAAATAATGTGTGTCAGTTTGGATTGCAAAATGGATCCAATAAGTTTTAACTGTTTGTGCACTAACCAATCATATGTACACCATAAAAAACATTGTATAAACTGAAAATGTTAACTTTTAAAAGCTTATTATCCTGTATTAATTAGGAGAAACTATGCTATGGTTAAATATATTTTGCAGTAAGGGCAGAATAAGCAGTTATTATAATAACAGGATTAATAGTGTCTTAGTAAATTTTTAAGTGGTTTAGTAAAATCAACAAATCATGAGGAATTATTGTTTAAATTGTGATATTTTTTGTAACTTGTTATTATTGCTCTGAATTATTAAATTTTTTTTACTAAACTGGGTTACCAAGGCATCAATCTACTAATATTTTTATGGCAAAATACGCTGTTTATATATTATAATTAAACAAATTATTTTTGGCATTTCCTAGAATGCAATAGTGCAATTTTCTTGTAGTAACATTTATTTATGTGTGTATGAGAATTAGGTGTATGGATGAGATGAATTGGATAATGTACATTTTAGCTTTAATTTTTGTTGACATATTTCTCAGTTGTAGCTTGTTTGGATTCTGGATATCTTTGAGATTCTTGAAGTGCAGTGCCGCTCATCAAGTGGTTGTGAAACGGATATCTGGCTCGTATCACAGCCAGCTTTGATGAGCGATGCAACATTTATGATCATCAATACAGACAGAATTTGTGATCAGTGCAGTTGCAGTAGTTTATGGTCTTACCATAGGAGGTGTAATATGGATGTAGGCTTTCGCTTATCAAGTGGATGTGAAATGTTTTTTAATTTCATATCACAGCCAGCTTTGATGAGCGTAAGATTGCATTAAAATCAACTTTTAAGGATTCCGAAATGGATATACTTGTAAATAATTTGTTTTTTTTTATTAAAATTGAATAAATATTCTTTTTTATTTAAAAATTTGTTTTATTATTCTCATATTTGCCAATACCATTCAAAATAAACTAGAAACTGTTAATTTGGAGATTGGAGTTCCTTGAACCCACAAATATTTATGATGTTTTGTGTAAACAAGTTGATAATGAAGTGACATCATTGTTTTAGTATTTAGTTTTCTCAAAATTCATTAAACTGAATTAAAGTTTGCAAGTCAAACTGGTTCATGGTGTAACTCCAAATGAATACTAAAAGTAGGAAACAAATAATTTTATTGTAAATGTCTAGAAAAACAGGTTATTTTAATGAATATTAAATAAAAATGGTCACTTTATTTTCTTTGAGTGAGAAAGAATTATTGATGAACCTCAATAACATTTGGAAACTATGTCTTACTAATGTTTGTTGTATATGGAATAAAGTTTTGCACAAGACCACATGTAGCATTTAACTTATTCCTTCACAATATAAAAGTTACAAATTACAGAGTAATTTTTAACATGTTTCAACCGGAATTTAAAATTATAAAAAAATTTTTGAAGGCAATCATTTTTATTCATTGATATTTTTGAAATAAGTGAAAATTAGAATATCTGAGCCATATGAGAAATAAACATAATATTTGTTGTAACTTGTTCTTCAAGTCAATCTCTAGAGAGATTCTTAGAGGTCAATATGATCAGATGGAAGAATGTTTAACACATCTACAACCAGACCATTTTGAATAATTGCCTGCAAGGAGAGCCATGTTATCTCCAACGCCTGGAAAAGTTTTTGAAAGTGAAGCTTCGTATTTGGTTCTTGTCGATTCTTCCATTTTTTTTCCTAAAATGCATTTTGTGCTCCAATCTTTCTAGCAACTTCTCTTTGGCTTTAATGTACACCCATGACTTGTGTACATATGAAGTAGTTTGTCTTACTACTGTTTGGTATATTTGGATATATCGCTTGCTGAGAACATTAGTGACGTAACCTCAAAAACGTAGTTTGTAGTAAAGTGCGTTTAAAGTTTTGGAGGAAATGCAATCTTTGATTGCTCGGTAGCTGACTGACTTATTGACGTATTTTCGATTTTATTCATCTAGGTAAGCTGACAGTTCACATAATACAGTCGTTTAACTGATGACAGGGGTATTTTGACAATTTTTTTTTTCAAGTTACGTCATTAATGCATTCAAGTACGTGGAACTTTTAAGATTTTGTGCGGTATTAGTGACGTATTATTTTATTAATTTGGATAAATTTATTAAAAACATGCTAATACAGTAACGCCTGTCAATAACAGTCACTAAAAATGACAGAACTATTGGCCGATATAAAAAGGTGGCCGCTAATACCAGGTTTTGTAGTCCACAAATTTTGGTTTGGGGAACTTTGTAACTTGCCGGCTAGTACAGGTGGCCAGTTTTGACAGGTGGTCGTTATAGATACCATTATAAATAAAAACTTAAGTATAAACATTCAAAACTTAAAATCAAAAATATTCCATAGAGTCGAAATACATCAGATAAAGAGAGAATTTTTCCAACGGAATATTATCCTGCGACCTTATAATTCAATGCATTGAAGAAAGGAGCATGTATAGGTGGTATAGATTTATTTTGGACAAGAGATTGTATGTCATCATACTTTTTCTTATTAATTTTGACTGGGGATAGATCATAATTTTGTAGTAGTTGAGTTATTCCGCTCCTTGTTTTATTATTTCTGATTATAACTTGTTTAAATTCTGTGCTGGTATAAGCAGTTTTATAAAAATAACGATCTGGATAATTTTTGTCGACTTTAATCATAACTATATCATTAAAGTTAAACTTTTCACCATTAATATTTACATTAAATGGCTGATTAGTACAATCGGATGTCATTTTTTTAAGTCAACAAACTCATTATGAGCCATTTCATTGATTTTAAACATACTTCCTGGTTTACTAGCAGTACTTATTATTGCTGAGTATTGAGCTGGTAGGAAAATGGGGCACGATTTCAAAGCTCGTTTGATGTTTTTTTCGATTATGGAGTGACTACTGTCACCTTCGTTTTGACCATG